AATCTCAATAACTCTTCTTTGTTACAATGAAGGCATGACTCATGTAAATTGGGGGTGTAGAAATAGCCGGTTATGTGGTAAAGCAGGATGGGTAGGCAATGGTTACTATCCATATATATATGCAATGGCTGGCTCTACTATGTAATCCAGGACAGCAACACATTACTTGAAAGGCATAAAACATTAGAAATAAATAGGAATATGCATAGAGAAGTATGTGTTGTCAATGAAAGTCATGTAGGGTATCATTGAAAGAATTAGGATATAGAGGCATTAAACAACAGTGTAGAAGTTTTGAAGAGCACAAGTGCAAGGAATCACATAAGAGAATATATCCTACAGAGCTGAGAAGAAACCCACAATATGAGCATGTGCTATTGCAAAATTGAGGGAAATTTCCTTTTTGGGTTGCTATAAGTTGCATCAAAATATCCCCAAAAGGAAGTCACATGTCCAATATGTTCAATTGAGATTATGTAAGTTGAACATGCAACCTAAAATGGAAGCTGTGCCACATTATTGATCCAATCACACACAGCCACATCAAGATTAGATTTCTCTGGGATTTGATTATCAGGGACCACCATTGAGTAAGCACCAAATGTCAATCTAGGTCTGAAAGATAAGATGAGATTGGAACTGGCATCATTGGCACCATCAAAAATTGATGCGCAATCAAAAACAGAGCCATTTGCCGTGGCAGTAGAGCATGTGATTGATGCTGACAAAGAAAGTGATGAGAAACCAAAGTTGTAGCCCTCACAAAACTGAACAACTTTCATCTACACACATGGGTGATCAGATCACTGGTTGGAGCACAGCATCCAAAATGGTTTCCATGATGGGATCACTTCAGAAATGATGTGGATCAAAGTTTTGCACAAAAAATGAGTAAATCTAGCCTGGCAGAATGCTCAAACAATCAGCCAAAACAGCCTAGAAATGGCCCCAAAAATGCATTTTTTGCCCCCGGCTGCCAGCTGGGGTCCCACCCACCAGTCGCAGGTACATACCTGCACTCAGGTAGATACCAGACTGGTACATACCACAGTGGTAGCTATGCTGAAAACTGGCCTCTAAGGTGGGTCCCACTTTCGTCATGACGCCCCTTAGAGGCCTAGTTACCTGTCTGACTGTAGTGCAAACGCACCAGGGTGCCAGATGCCATCCAGAGGAAATTGGCGACCGAGAAACAGAAGGGCCCCCAGCCCAGCAGATTGGCGCAGGAATTGCGCAGTTACCAAGCCGAAAGAAAGAGGCATTCGATGGACGTATATGTCCAGATCACGGGCCTGGACTCAGGGAAAACGCGTGGAGTCAAGGCGCTGCTCGATAGTGGCTGCAGTACCTGCTGCATCGACACCGACTACGCACGGGCAGAAAAGCTGGATATCCAAGAGCTTCCGCAACCCATTGTGGCTCGTAACGCCGACAACACCGAGAACATCAGCGGTCCGATCACACACTACGTCGACTTGAGAATGAGAATCGGTCCTCATGTGGAGACACGCACGTTCCTTCTGACGTGTCTGGGAAAAGCCCGGATCTTCATCGGCCTGGATTGGCTGACGGAACACAACCCCGAGGTGGATTGGCAGGAGCAGACAATGAGATTCAGCCGATGCCCAGAGCAATGTCAAATGAGGGGTCACGAGGAGCACCAAGCGATGATCGACATGGATGCAATTGAGCTGGACGCGGGTGCACCGGATCTGGAAGAGGGAGAATCGATCTTGTTGATCGACTTTGGAAAGGAGGTAGACCTACGGCTGAAGGAAACGCCGGCGCAGAAATTCGCAGAAGAAGCGGAAAAGGAGAAGGAGAGAATGACCGAGGGAAAGATTCCAGATCAATACCGAGAATTCGTCAAAGTATTTGCCAAGGAATCATTCGACTCGCTACCGGACCGACGGGCATGGGATCATGCGATCGAGCTCAAACCAGGCTCCAAAGCAGTGGACTGCAAGGTGTACCCCTTATCGAGAAACGAGCAGGTCAAACTCGACGAGTTCTTACAAGAGAACCTAGCCAGCGGACAAATCAGGCCATCAAAATCACCCATGGCATCGGCATTCTTCTTTGTCAAGAAGAAGGATGGCTCGCTACGGCCTGTTCAAGATTACCGGAAGCTGAATGAGATGACGATCCGAAATCGGTACCCGCTACCGCTGATTTCCGAACTGGTCCACAACCTGTGCGGCGCCAAGTTCTTCACCAAGCTAGACATCCGGTGGGGATACAACAACGTACGGATCAAAGAGGGCGATGAGTGGAAGGCTGCGTTTCGCACAAACCGCGGACTTTACGAGCCCTTGGTTATGTTCTTTGGTCTCACAAATTCCCCGGCAACTTTCCAAAACATGATGAACGACATACTCCGGGAACTGATCAACGAGGGACATGTGGTAGTTTATCTGGACGACATACTAATCTTCACAGAAGATCTGGATGAACATCGACGAATCACCAAACGGGTACTCGAGTTGCTCCAAAAGCACAAATTATACCTGAAGCCGGAAAAGTGCGAGTTCGAACGCACGGAAATCGAATACCTGGGTGTAATCATTGGACACAACTCGATGCGGATGGACCCTGTCAAGATCAAGGGCGTGATGGAATGGCCGGAACCAAAGAGCGTCAAACAAGTCCAAGCCTTCCTCGGATTCACAAACTTCTATCGACGTTTCGTTCGGGGATATGCGGAGGTCGCCAAGCCGTTGACGCGGCTGACAGGGAAGGCAGGATGGTCATGGGGTCCGGATGAACATGCGGCGTTTGATGGGTTAAAGAAGAGAATCGCGGAGGATGCCGTCTTAGCACTGCCAAATGACACTGGCCAATATCGTCTGGAAGCCGATGCTTCGGAAGGGGCAACAGGATCAGTTTTGAGCCAAAACCAAGACGGCATTTGGCGCCCAATCGCATTTATTTCGCACGCATTGACCGAAACCGAGCGAAATTATGAGATCTACGACAAGGAGATGCTCGCAATCATGTTATCACTTGACGAATGGAGGCAGTTGCTCCTGGGAGCCACGGAAACGTTCGAGATCTTCACCGATCATCAGAATCTCGAGTACTTTCGGAAGCCGCAGAAGCTCAATCGACGGCAAGCACGATGGATCACGGAGTTGGCGGAGTTCGATTTCACCTTACGACACCGACCCGGCGCACTCAACCGCAAGGCGGACCTCCTGTCCCGACGAGCAGATCACGATCAGGGCAAGAACGACAACAAGGACGTCACGCTACTGAAGCCCGAGTTCTTCCGATCACAAGAAGTCACATTCGAGGGACAGGATCAGCAGCTAATCGACGAAATCAAGGCCATTCGATCAATTGATGGAAGCGTCAAGGCGGCCTTAGAGAAGTCACTCGCCGGATGGAAGAAGGAAGAGGGGCTTATCACGTACCATGGGAAGCTCTACGTACCAAGGGACGAGGAGTTGCGGGACAAAATCATCGGACTACACCACGACACCCCTTTGGTCGGACACGCCGGGATCAACCGAACGCAGGAGATGGTGGAAAGGAACTACTGGTGGCCAAGGATGGGAAACCAAATTCGGAAATACATCCAGACGTGCGAAGCGTGCCAGCAGACCAAGACCAGAAGAGCCAGGACAGGGAGTTTGCACCCGCATGCAGTTCCAAACGCGCCGTGGGAAATCATCTCTATGGATCAGATCGGACCCCTGCCGGTCAGTAACGGGTATGACGCAATTCATGTGTGGTGTGACACCTTCACCAAAATGATCCATGTCAAACCAATTAGTACTGACATCAGCAGCGAAGGAGTAGCACGATTAACCAGGGACCGAATCTTCCGCTATCACGGGGTCCCCCGCAAAATCATCACCGACAGGGACTCTCGATACATCAAGGGCTTTATGAAGGAAACGAATCGGATGTTGGGCGTGGAAATGAATCCGGGGACCGCATATCACCCCATCACGGATGGGCAGACGGAGCGTATGAATCAGGAGATCGAACACTATCTCCGCATTTACGTCAACTACCATCAGACGGACTGGTCGGAGTGGCTGGGAATGGCGGAGTTCGCATACAACAACAAGATGAACACGTCTACCAAAATATCGCCATTCTATGCGAATCACGGATATCACCCGTGGAAGGGAGTGGAGCAGCGGATGGAATCAAGGAACGAGTCGGCGGAGGAATTTGTAAAAAGAATCAAAGAAATACAAGACGAAGCAAAAGCAGCATTGGAAAAAGCAAAAGAAAAAATGAAAAAATACTACGATAAACAAAGAAAAGAAGTTCCGGAGTTGAAGGTTGGGATGAAGGTGTACATAGAAGGGGAAAATATCGAGACGGATAGACCATCAAAGAAGATGAGCGACAAGAGATTGGGACCATACGAGATACTGGAGAAGGTTGGAGCGGCCGCATGGAAGCTGGATTTGCCGGACACGGACCGAAGACACCCGGTGTTCAACGAGTCACTGTTGACACCCTATCACGAACCACCCCCCCATCGCCGAGAGAAGAGACCCGTGGCCAAGATGATCGGAGGAGCAGAGGAGTGGGAAGTCGAAGAAATCGTGAAAGAGCGAAAAGTCGGCCGAGGAAAACAGTACTTGGTCAAATGGAAGGGATGGCCGCACAGCGAGAACACCTGGGAACCATCACGTCACCTTACCCACGCAAAGGACGTCCTGAGAGACTGGCAGAGGAAACAATCAAGTCCAGACACACGCATTCGCCTCCTGCCAACGCTCGAAGCTGGACACTGGGACTATCTCATTCATCGCTACCAGCCCAGGGACGAGCGCCTTCCATACCCCCAACGACAGCTCTTCGACCCTTACGAGAACGTCTTCTTACCCATTGGCCTGGTCGATGAGGACATCGACCCTAAAGAGGGGGTAATGTCATAGTTCGGCCACTTTTTCATCTTATCATCAACGATCTTATCTTATCTTGGCACAACTTATCTTATCACGGATCACGGCATCAGACGGTCCGGACTAGGGGTTTCAGGGATTATCTTCATCGATTCGAGGCTGCGCGACATATGCTCCAGAAGGTTCTACTACAACCCATGACCAGCGTTCCATGCGGTACATAGCCCTATGACTCATTAGTTGTAGATATGACTCAGACTGGATTTGGGTATAAATACTGTAGCTACTTGGTTGTATTCTCCAGTCTTCGAATTCACTTCTCTTTTCGACTTTGTTTTTGGGTTGATTGTCACATGAATCTTCCCTCGTCCACCGCGTTTCTGCTTCACCTCGTCCAACGACCTGAAGAGGACCTTTCTGAGAACCTGGTCTTGGTATCGCTTCGCCGTCATCCCACCGCCCTTGCCTCCAGGATACTCGAGCACAATCAATGGCCCTTTCCATCCGTGCGCGATGCAACCCCAAACCATGACACGGATTGGGGACTGCTTGAAAGAGGGAGCGAGACAATCTTGGTTGTAGACTTTGTCCGAGGTACGTGTAACCCAAATCCGACCCTTGTTGTCCGAGAGATGAACGTAGCATTCATCAGACCAAACCACCTTTGACCACTCCAGCTGTTGAGCACTGGGGAGAGCGTCTAGCAGCTCACCTGTGTGAGTGAGAGCTTAGTGTGGGCACTATGCGGGAGTAGTCAAGAGACTTGGATTATAGGGTAATAGAGCCCTCCTTATATACAATACAGGGGGCTATTTGTGTCTATTTAGGACGAGTCGACATGACTCTAGATGACATGTGATGGAGTCATAAGATGTGTATCACGACATCCATCTGGCAGATGATAAGATCATCATTTGATCAACACTCCCCCACGCTGAAAACCACAGGATAGTGTTTGAGAGCGAAATCTTCATCGGCCATTCCTTCAGGACGAGTTGAACTCAAGTCCTAGTTGAGATCTGAACTTCTCGAACTTGACGCGTCCTAAGTTCTTGGTGAACATATCTGCAGGATTCTCACTGCCCGGAATAAAGAACAGTTCAACCTCTTCTTCCTCGACTCGCTCACGAATGTAGTGATAGCGGATGTCTATGTGTTTCATCCTGCGGTCTCGGTAGGCATTGCTGCCACTGAAGAGTGCACCTTGATTGTCACCGCAAATGGGTACTGGGATGGTGAGCTTGAACTGGAGTTCCGAAAGGACGCTCTTCAGCCACATCACCTGGCGACTACAATCTGAGATCGCCATGTACTCTGCTTCGGTCGAAGACTGCGCGACAGTGCGCTGAAGCCTAGACTGCCAGCAAATAATCCCGTCTGCCAATTTCGTGAAGAAACCAGTGGTAGACCTCCTCTTGATCGGATCAGCAGCCCAGTCTGAATCGCTAAATGCAATGAGCCCTTTATCCGTCGCACCATTGAAAATGAGCGAATAATTCCTAGTACCAGCCAAATAGCGACAGATATACAGCGCTTTATGGAGGTGGTCTTGGGACGGATTGGCAGCAAATTGTGACAATTTGGTCACAGCAAATGCAATGTCAGGACGTGTGCCTAGCATGATGAAGAGAAGAGATCCAATGACTGATTGGAATTTCTTCCTGAGCTCTGGATCGACTTCATCCTCATTTGGCATTGGAACATATCCAGCCGGTAGAGGGGTCGCTGCGAACTTGGCGTTCTGCATTCCAAAGCGCTCTAGCACCTTGTCGAGATAGGGAATCTGATCAATCTTGATTGAAGATCCCACTCTACTGAGGCGTACGCGCAAGAACTCTGGAGTATCTTCAGAATTGCGGCATTCCCATCGCTTGTTGAACTCAGCCTTGAGAAAGGCGAGGAGCTTCTTGTTCTTGGAGAAGAACAGTGCATCATCCACATAGACTATTATGACGGCTATGCTGCCATCAGAGTCCTTGTAGAAGAACACGCCGGCATCCGATGTTAGTCGGATCCAGCCCATGGCTTTCGTGGACTTGGTTAGCGCTTTCCACCATGCTAAAGCAGCTTGTTTGAGTCCGTAGATTGCCTTGTGCAAGCGCATGACTTTGCGCTCTTGGCCTCTCGCCACAAAGCCTTCGGGTTGTTCCATGTAGACCTCTTCGTCAAGCTCTCCATAGAGAAAAGCCTTACTGACGTCGAGTCCAGACCAATGCCAATCATTTAGCGCTGCAAGCGCCATGACTAACCGGAACGTCTCATACCTGACAACAGGAGAGAATATCTCGTCATAGTCAACACCTTCGACTTGACTGAAACCCTTGGCAACTAGGCGGGCACGTTTTCGGCCATCAGATTTTTGGTCAAAGACCCAGCGACATCTGATAACCTTCCGTCCTTTCGGGCAGTCCACAAGGGAATAGACCTTGCGCTGACGAAGTGCCTCTAACTCGTCGCGGCAAGCATCAATCCAACCTTTCTGTTGTTCAGAAGGCAACCGCTTGATATCGCGGAACGTCCAATCGCGAATTTTGGACGTATCAGGTAGGTTCTCATTTGGAACCGCTTTTGACAGCAGCGCCGTGATGAGCTCTACTCCCCCTTCCCGGCATAGCTTCTCCATGCGTGCATCCTCGTCTAGATTGTCAGAAGCACCCGCGTTTGAGGAATCTGGTTGCGAGCTAGGGCCGGGAACCCCTGCATCAGCACCGGTCGATGGTTGAGATTGGGAGCTACCCTTATCTTCACCAACATACCGCTTCCAGCCTCTGCTGTTCTGAATATCACGGACTATGTCCGTAGGGTTACGCTTTTCCCCATAGACGTTTCCTGGACGTGTAGGCACATTCCGCTGGCATGAAGACCTTCGAGGCTCAGGAGCTGGTGAAGCTTCCCGACTTGGTCGTGGAATTCTACTTCTACGAGTCCTCTGAGGTTCATCCCGACGCTCTGGCGGTGGGTCCTGATGATTATGACCGTCGTCACCATCATCATTTCCCTGTACGGGAGGTGGTGGAGCCGGATCAGATGGCATGGGAAATGGAAAAGGATTATCTCCATATAGCCAATCTTCTCCGTCTACCTGTGGTGGATCTTGTGGATTCACTGGGTCATCACGTTCTGGAAATTCCTCTCCAACAGGAACGTGGGGTGGTCGATTGCTGTCAGGACAGCGGGGGAACAACTCCTCGTCGAACAATGCCTTGGTGGCGACGAACGTGGAATTGTTTGTGCGCATGAACAAAAATCCTTTCACACCATCAGGAATGCCCAAGTAGGTCATCAGCTCCGATTTGGGCGATAACTTGTTGGCGCGCTTCTCATCAGGGATAAAGACATATGCAGCGCAACCAAAGACTCGGAGTTCGGAAACATCCGGTTTTTCCTTGTGAAGAGCTTCAAATGGAGTTTTCCATTTTAGACGCCTGATAGGTGTCATATTGTAGATCCGTGTCGCATGTTTGATAGCGAATTCCCAATAAGAATTAGGAAGACAGGCAGTGAAGCGCATGGCTTCTGCCTTATCCATGATCGTACGATTGAAGCGCTCAGCATGCCCATTCTGCTGGTGAGCATATGGAGCACCCTTCTCCACTAGAATTCCTTGTTCCGCGAGAAATTCTTCCATTCCCATCCCCATGAATTCTCCCCCATTGTCAATATGCCACTTTTTGATGGTGACATTGAACTGGTTCTTGACCATCGCAATGAAATTGCGCATAGCCTGCTTGGCATCGGATTTCTGCGCAAGGCATACTGTCCAGCCATAGGAGAGTGCTTCGTCGAAGAAGCTCATGAAGTAGCGGTACTTGTGATAAGACACCGTGGGAAATTGTTTGAGATCCGAGTGGATCAAATCAAACGGATTCTCCGCTCGTTTTTCGGAAGGCGGGAAGGCACGTTGGTGCATTTTCCCTTGCGCGCATCCTTTACACGGTCGGGTTTCCTCGGGAAATACTAGGTCTTCTGGAAAGCCCTTGGTATTCTTCTTTGCCTGATGTAAAACGTCTTTCGACGGATGTGCAAGTCGCCGGTGCATGATCTCATAATCCACCTTGTAAATAGTGGACATGGATCGCACTGTCTCAGCTGTGCTAGGCTTTGACATCAGGAAGTACAAGGCAATGTCCTTCCCTAGAGTTCTAAACTCCATGATCGAGAGTGGGGACTTCCCTCGATGTAAGCTGATCTGCGATTCGTCTCCACGAACGCGAGATCCTCCTTTGAGTAAGGAGCCCAAAGACATGAGACGACCATGTAATCCTGGCACTAGGTACACTGGATATATCTGAGAAGTCACCATTGTCTTTTCTCCATGCCTTGTGACGTAATGATCGATGAAGGCTGTTCCTCGACCAATAAGGGCAACACGTGTGTTCTTATCAGCGGTCTGAGCAACAATAGGATCTGAGAGCTTCTCATATCCGACCAGATCACTAATCTCCGATGTCACATGGAGAGATGCACCTGAATCAAGAAGCCATAGAGGCCCTAATTCATGATGATGATGTTTCCCCTTACACTTAGAGCAGGCAGCAAAATCGGAGTGCACACAGAATAGATTGGTACAAAAATCATGCGAACGAATCATCAACGAATTAAGTACAGAACCCGGGGCGGCGGTGATTACGCGCTCTGGCTGTGAGCAACAATCAGAATTGTGCATGTGCCCAAGAAGGCAGGGTACTTGCCTTTCGGCGGAAGGAGCGTCCATCTCCTCCAGAAGGGTGTTGAAGTCGACGACTTCATCCCAATTGACCGGTTCAGCCTGGGCGAACTCGCTATCTCCAAACAGAAGATCAAGATCGTTCTGTTGGCTGGTGGCCATCTCGACGTTGGGGATCTCCTCGATACGACTGCGTTTGGCAGGAGGACCATCATCCAGCGTGTGATTCGAGCCGGAAGCAACCGGAGATGGAGAACGCATAATTGCGTCCTCGCGGAGCATTCCTTTCTCATTGACAATCTTGTCGAGAGTCCGGAAGCGTTCTGCGGTCACCGTCACATCCATCTTTTTGGCCAGCTCGAAGACCTTACGAGTAGGCTTCTGAAACTCGGTGTCAATGATCCCATTGTTGTTAACGGGAGACTTCTCTTGAACCGCGCGGATTTTGGGTCCATCGCGAGAGATGTGCGTGACATGCGAGATCGTCGGCGCAGGGATAGACGGAGTGAGCGAGGCGATCGAACCAATAGTGAGGGAGCCAGTGATCTCGGAGACTCCATGGACATGACTGTGATCAGCCTTGCCCTTGCCCTTGTTGTCCTTGTTCTTCCCACTGCGCTTGCCTCGACGGTTCTTCTTCTTTCCATCAGCCTTATCACCCTTATCGGGTGCAGAGCCAGAGCCCTGTTGCTGATTGGTGAACGAAGGATCATCGCACTTGCGCTTGGTATTGAACTTGGCCACATGATTCTGGCTTTGAGACTGCTTCTGAGCGAAATGCGTCAAGAGAGCGTCACGAACCGCCGAGACTTTGATCTCGTCCTTTTCATAGGTCTGGAGAACAGTCTCTGTGACGGAGGGAATCCGGGCTATGTTGAGAATGATCATCGCTCTGAGGAACTCAGGGATGCTCAAAGACTCATTCTCCAGGCGAGCGAACGCCGTAGTGATCACCAGCAGCTGTGGATCAGGGTGCAAC